GCTGACAGTCTATTTTTTCCTTACCAGTCTTCAGTGCTTCAGTTCTAATGACTTCAGTTACAGTCGGTGGCCAAGGTGCAGGCAGGTCGGGGGTTGTTAAGAGGCGCAGGCAGGTCGGGGTGTTGAGAGGTGCAGGCAGGTCGGGGGTTGTTAAGAGGCGCAGGCAAGGTCGGGAGGTCGGGGGTTGTTGAGAGGCGCAGGCAGGTCGGGGGTTGTTAAGAGGCGCAGATTCGATTCCTGCGGGCACCCCACCTATTCGTGCCCACCTATTTCCCACACTCATCTCGGTGCAGGAATTTTAATTCATGAGGGGGTGTCGATCGTCCTTTTCGGATCCGGAAGGGACTTTGCTGTTCGCCCTGATTTACGACTGCGGCGATGAGTTCTGCATCTCGCTACCGAGCGAGACAATGCTGGTGCGGCATCGGCGTGTTTCGAACCCACGTCTACCGCCACCGATGGAGGGCTGTGTGAGACTACAGTTCGACGAGGATGACATGCTAGGCTGCAGGTTATTCCTGGCAATCGCATTACAGTGCATCGACAACTTGAGGGGAAATCGTGACGCCGTCCTGTGGTCGAAGGACCAGTTGCAGTTTCGTACGAACTCGGGACACGTCCAGGTGGTAATAGATCCGGAGCACTCCAAGTACGACGGAAAGGTGCGGTTAGCAGGCGGGCCCCGAAGGGTTGCGTTCTCACAACGAATGCGCCGTCAGCGACGCACGCTCCCTCAAGCGGCGAAACGGAGAGGTTGAAGTGGGCGCAAGGTGCGTTGCTCGGTTTATTTAATGAGGGTAAGGTGGTACAGGAGGGAGCTGTGGGGCGTGCAGTGGAAGAGGCCCTGCTGGTGCCGGCGTCAGGTTGGGGTGCTCTTCGCACGCGTTTGTTGGAGGCATACCGTGGTCTAGATGAGACGGAAGGCTATGCGTTTGGTTATTGGAAGAACATCTGTCGTCCAATGTTGCAACTAGATTTGGCACACCAGATTGCGTGTGCATGGCGGCGTGGTGGTTTGTGTGAGGGTTGCCGACCTGGGGCGGTAATGAGTTTTCCTGCTAAAGGTAATGTGGCAGCGGCTCATATTCCGCACCCGGTTCTACTGGGTGTAAGTTCGGACCCGCGTGCACCTCTACGTCGCTGGATCGAAACAGGTTACTGGGATGTCCGCGGGGACTATCAGGTCCACCACAACTGGAATGAATTATACAATCGTGTCCAGGGCACCTGGTTTGCCGAAAGTGAACGTGTTGCGGAACGGATCGCACACGTAGCAAACACTCATGGCACTCATACCGCCCGTCTACCCTGGTCCGCCACTTGGAAGCCCTGGAAGCAGCCACCGTGGTCCGATTCAGACGATACCGCCGAACTCGTCCAAGCCGACCTCGATCGCCGCATCGCACACTGGCGCGTGCTCAATCTGCGAGACCTCCTTGACGCCTTCCGTCTTGCACCACATCTAGTAACCACACTTCAACGCCATACCGCTAATTCTCTTCAACATGTTGCTCGCAACCCTAATACTACCCAAGGAACACATAACTATTATATTGGTTGTTACGACCAAGTCTACGTTGTCCTAGAATTCGAAGGCGGCGACAAGATCAACGACGCCACCGACGACCAGGGGAGATCCAATAGATCTAAGCTCCGGGCACTCCTTGCTCCCACCTGCCTCCGAGCAGACTCAGCCGAGGAAGCGGAACAGAGGACCGCCACCTTCTGGGCCCAAGTGCGCCAAGATGCAGGCTGCGCTGACTATACCGACTATAGCTAATGATTTTTACAATTCAATTCAGTCCGTCCCGACCCCAACAGGTCTGTGAATTTTCCGATTAAATTATGCGAAGTTGCGGTTCATCATTGGAAGAAGCGCAAAACATTCCGTTTCTGTCAGTTGCTCTAGGGACGATATTTGATGCCGGGGATCCTAAGGATTGCCCATGTGCGTCTCTGTTGACGGACACGGTTCTCTTTGGGTCGGATTCTTCAAGTTCGACGCATGTGCCTGAGCCTTTGAAAAACTGCGAGCGACTACGATTGGGTCGTGCAGACAGGCTGACTCCGAGACTCTATCTGGCTATTGCATTGCAGACGTTGGACAAGCTGATGGAGAATGATGACCTCCTGCTATGTCACAAGGACCAAATACAGTTGCACGCCCGACAAATCCGGCCGACAGTATATCTGGACTTCGAGTACGAGAAGTATGTGGCTGGAGAGGAGAGGTTTGAGGTTCGCGGAGAGAAGGATCGAGTCCGTTGGGCTCAGCGCGCTTTGCTACATTTGGCTCGTGTCGGCAAAGTGGTGGGGCTCGTGGCCGAAGGCTTCGTTCCTGTGCCGGAAACGATGATTGGCGGAGATTGGGCGGAAGACGGATTTGTGGCAAAGTCAGCACACGGCAATTGGTGGCAGGAAAATGAAGGTAGTTGGCATGAAGGTAGTTGGCAAGAAGGTACTTGGCATGAAGGCACTTGGCAGGAAGGTAGTTGGCAAGAAGATAGTTGGCATGATTTATTTTTAGCCAAGTTAGACCGTGCGGCGTTAGCTGTGCACGCGAGTCTGACTGCTGACTTTAAGTGGTTGGATGAGTTGCGAAAATCATTGCTGGCGGCGTATCATGAGTGGGATAAGTCGGGGCGGTATCGAGACCGCGTGTGGAAAGGTGTGTGTCGACCTATGCTCAGTATGGACCGTTACGGACGTGTGGCGACAGTGTCCACAGATGCGGCGGGTGAAGGCATTCAAACGCGTTCTTGCGCGCGATGCATTGAGGGACCGCTTACGAGTCTAGCGGTACCTGGGTGCGTTTCGAATATGAGACTGGCCCCATATGTGGACCACTGGGTGCCTCCTTCACCGAAGACACCACGATCGATATGGCCGGATAGTGACTACGCTCCGGGTGCACGTTGGGACGTGGTGAGGCCATGGATGCGTGGTTCGTGGCGTGAGGAATATGCGCGTGCAGCCACTGCCATCGCGGATGTGGCCACAACACTACAAACGAATACCGAAGAGCTGCCCTGCTCAGCCACCTGGATGCCCTGGCGTAGTGAACTTTTGCCCGAAGACGAAGAGACCTTCGAAAAAGTACACGGCGAAATCGACAAGCAAATCGCACTCTGGCGTGTTACCCCACTCCGCAGCCTACTGCGCTACTTTCGCTTCGCTCCTAAGATGGTCGACTACCTTGAACGACAGTGTGCTCTTGGACTTCACCATGCCCGCAAACTTTGCCCGAACACACACTTCTTTGTCGGCTGCTATAACCAAGTTTACGCCGTACTCAACTTCCAGCATGACGAAAGTCGCGACGGTGATGGAGACGACGCCTGGCGTCAATTCGTGAACGCCCAAACGGGTTGCTCAAACCACCGTCCAGGCTTTTGGTCACAATTGTCTTCAAGCTCCCGTCCTGACTCTCTCGGCTCTTTGGATTCATTCAATACCTCCCGACCTAGTTCCGTTGATTCGTCCGACTACTTCCCATCCAGCACACCCGACCATCTGGATCACCCCTTCAACAAGTCAAGAATCAGACTTCTGCTGGCGCCACTCTGCCTCACAACCAGCTCGGTCCACGAAGCAAAAAGCAAGACGAGCGCCTTCTGGACTAAGGTACGTTTGGAGGCAGGCTCCGCAGACTTTGTTACAGAAAAACTGAAGCCTGGTCGCAAAAAAAGAAGCCCGGACTGAAGCACTTTTTTCACGAATTTGGTTGAAGCAACTAGGCAAGCACCTTGCTTGTTGTGGCGTTTGGTCTAGGAAGAGTGGTTTAGTGTTTTTTTTTTAAAAATGCTGGGGGTAGTGAGTGAAAGGCGTTCTGTATCTGTGATTGCTGGCTGGACGGCAACGGTGATGACGGTTGAGGGCGGGAGGTTGGTGGTGAAGAGTGATGATAAGGATGCCACGTGGTGGGAGATGACAGTTGAAGGTCGGTGGCCTGGAGGTGTTACGAATACCGCTACAGCTACATCGAGCGTGAAAGTGTGGGTGGCGTTGCCACCGGGTATGACACCGAAGCATATGCAGAAGTTGGATCAGTTGATGGAGTGGAGTAGCGTTGTGCTCATACCGGCAAAAAGAAACGAGGACGCGAGGTTGGCGGAAATACGTGAGCTTGCCGCAAGTTTGCTAAAGCGTGTCCGTAACCAGGTTGAGAAATTGCAGGAGTCTGGTGAACTACCGGATGGGGAACTTGCTGACCATCCAAAATACTTAGACCCGGGGGCGGAGGCGGACCTTGTCATGCAGAGGGAGCGGTTGAGCAGGAGAGAAGAGAAACGTATGCAGGCCCGATGGGAAGTTATGGAGAAGGTCATGCACGTGGTGGCCCAGACCATGCTTCATAACTTCTCGGAGACGGACCGGGAGAAAGCTGTTGAGCGTGCAAGGAGTTGGGTTCTTGCTGAAAAGCGAAATCGTGGCAAAATCGAGTTTGGTGGCCACAAAGAATGTATCTGGACGTGCGTTAGGTTTGATCAATTACGGAGCATACCGCAACCCCCTATTTGGTACCGTTCTCTCCCCGACTACGTGTTGGAGCCCCTGATGTGGCTGAGTGATGACTTGAAGAATGTACCCTGGTCGTGGGAGTCATTGAAACCCAAATCATGGAAACCCAAATCATGGAAGCCAAGTTTCAAATTTCAGATGCCACGGTTGAGTGCGGTCGTGGTGACCGCTATCGGAACCGCAATGCTTTGGGGGTATAACTGGTGGTATAGAAGCCCTATGCCATATCCCGCAATCAGTCATAAGGCACATTGGGAGCACCAACAGTACTTGCACCGACCGGACCCACAACAAGACTTGTGGCCACAGGACTGCGAGGAAGCCGTTGTCGGGTTCGAAAAGGCACTAGCTCGCCAGGGCTTCAAAACCTACGGACCGCCGGACAATGCAGTAGTCGCCAAGAAACTTTGCCCCGAGGCAACCGTACTCTTCGGAAACTCCGATTGGTGGTTTACCGGCTTACCTGGTGGTACCGGTGATATGAGTGACATCGCGAACAAACCACTGAACTACACCATAGTCAAAACTGATGCTTTTGGTAAGTTCGAAAAGATATATTCTGCAGGAGAGGATCAAAAGTGGCACCCAACAAAAGAAGAGTGGACTGAGTACAAGAGGGAATTGGCGCGTCGTATTCGAGAACGGGAACTGGCAACCGCCCTAACGGTTATCCCCGGAGAAGAAGTCTTTTAAAAAATATTTGCTGATATTTAGGCACAGTGTATGGCCGCTCAACTGCCATTGTGGTCGAACACACATGAGGGAGGGTCTGGGAGGGTCTGGGAGGGTCTGCAACCAAACCCTACATCAACCCGCTGATGTTGCAGCGGTACAGAACACCATGCATGCATGGTATGTCAGTGCGCAAGGTCTGGTTTAAGTTGGTATGTCTCACCCGCCGAACCTTTTTTGTCGAATGGGGGGAGTCAGTAACCGTGCCGATGCAAGTTTGCGCAACAGGCCTGCGCGAGTTAAGCTCACCGCCGTCACCGAAGCGAAATTTGAGCAGTGGGCGGATGACTTGGCGACGGCCGTCGGCGAGCACGCCACATCCACGACGAAACGCTAGTGGTTAGACTTTTCGTCAGCCACCGTCAGAGCGCGTTTCAATGGGTGTAGGAGAGGCCCCGGGGTGGCGCGTCAGGTTCACGGCCGACCCGCTCAGAGATGAAACCGATGTCAACGCTTGGGTTATTCGTACCGGTAGCCATGGCATACCGACAAACCCGGGTGACCAAATTACTCAAAGTGGTATATTTCCTACTAGTGGTTACGTTGTTTATTCTCTAGGGGCGTGGTTGTTCACTTACATCTCACCCACATTTTCCACTTACATCTCGCCCACATTTTTCAGACTCTACAAAATCGTGGAGGCCACAGAGAACAAGCTGACATCCTTACCGCCCTTGTTGATCACGGGAGTCTGTCGCTCACCTCAGTTTGAGGTCATCAAGACTATTTTCATCGTCGCTTGGTTCTTTCTTCCCTTGATGCTTTCTTCCCTTGGTGTGTTGCTTCTCGCTCTACCATAAGTTTCGCACCAAGCGGCACAGAGGAACTACCCGATCCGCGACGGATGAACCAGACAGGCCAACGGCAATAGCGCTACACCGGCTCCCTCATCGACCATGGACGAATCACTGGCGACAACTACTGGATGCAGTCCGACGTGCAGCGTTCAACATGGAAGAAACTGCCATGATTCAACTACTGTGGAACAGAGTCCCACAATCCAGGCAATTCGACCTGCTGGACGTACCCAGAGGCCCGGAGACCCAAGTCGAAGACGTTGCTACGAGAATGTTCCCAACTAGCAACTACGTGGCCGACGTGCACGTGGCGGCTGCAACCATCCAACCCGAAGACTTCCCACAACTCAAGGAAGCA